TATCGAAATGTATCGCACTAAACGTTAAAATATCAATAATATAAATTTGTAGATATCTAATGCATAAAACATAATAATGATATTGCTTTTAAATCGAACCATTCGTGGGAAATGTCGCTACATTATCGATATTTTCGTGGTACAGGTATCGATAGGTTCACTGCATTTTTCCACAGCCTCCTGCTGGCGAAGGACCTTCACCGCCATTGAGTGGCATCACTGGATTGAAAAATCATTGCAATCACTTCCACTTGTTTACTATTCACCAAACTCTGTTTCCATTTGGGATTCATAAGAAGAAGAATTTACATTTCTGGAACTTTGGGTGAGTATTTTAAACAGTCTTCTGGCTTTTTATTTTATAAATGAATGAGAAAGAGGAGTTGCAATTGCATAAAACATGAGCATAAACAATAAACTATATATTTCTATATAGATTAGGAAATGAAAGTTCCCCTTCTGCTACCAAAATATTAATCTCAACTCATTTCCGGCCCCGAGTGTTTAGCTTAAATGCGGACTGAAAATTAATTAAGGCTTAAGCGCCGAGAAATGTAAATAAAAATCAAGCTAAAATCGACTTAATGAGCAGCTGCAGGATTTGAAATTCAGATTAGGCAGAGCTGCCACGCCCCTCGAAAGCGGGAAACCCTGAAGCCCCCTTGAAAGCCCCCCAAAAACCCCTCAAAGACCAGGAAATGCGTGAAACCTCCTCCTCCTCCTCCCACCGGCAATCCGCAATTGAATTTCTATTGATTAACAAACGAAACGATTTGATTTCTCAATGGATTAATTCGAGCGTTGATTGGGCTCTCCATATACGTATATTCGTGTATATATATTTGCACTCTGGTTGCTGGATGCTGGCTATATGGCACGTATATTATATTGATTTATCGCCGTGCCAGGCACATGGATTTATTTGGCCAAAAACAACAATTAGCCGGCCCAAAATGGGAGTGTAGTGAAATATATATACACATACTCGATAACTTACTTGATGATGCATAAAAAACAATTTTACGCAAAGCGGGAGGAAGTGCGGGAAAATACGGAAAATGGGAAATGGAAAATGCGATAGGGAAGAGCAAGGGTAAGTGTGTGTGTGGACAGACAATTGACCACTCAGCACATCGTTAGGATGTGCCGGGGTTACCGAAACCGAAGGAATTTCGGGAAATCATGCTCAATCCTTGAGATCCTGGAGTAGCAGGAGCAGCAGCAGCAGCAGCTGCCATTTTGTTTTTGCTGTTCACATCTGAAAATTTATGAAATTCCTCGCCTTCGCCATCTTCAACTGCGTGTTCTTTCGTCTCTTGAGTGCTTTGTGTGCCAGGACAGCGACATATCAAGCAGCCGCCACGTTGGCCAGGGCCAGCACTGAGAGAAACTAGCTTGTATATATATAAAATTAATATATATTATACATAATTATATAACTTGAGGATATATCCTCTTAATTTGAAAGTAAATATCACTCAGCCGCCCTGTAGACCCGATGAGCAAAGTGTAGACAAAGTTGTGAACGATTTTCTTTCAGTGCCTTAACAATAAAGACAAAGGATAAAGCAAACAAGAAGGGGGATAGACACAAACACAAAGAGAGAGAGAGAGGCGCAAGGAAAGGACTAAGAGCGGCCATGTCCTTGTCAAGGGTCGTTGAGTAAAGTGTATTCGAGTGAGGAATATAACGATTAGTTGAATCAGCTGCCACTTTATCTTATTTCAATCTGCCAAACCAAAGAGTAAACAAAAACACTGGCTAAATAACATTCATTTTGCGTGCAATTTAAAATTAAATATTTTAACAATGCACAAACATATATTTAAAGAGGAATTCAGTACATTTTCTTCAACTTTCAAGTATTAGGTTCGAATAAAATGTGCAAAAAATTAATGTTGCTTTTATTCTAATAAATCCTTGCTCATCCTCAACCCCGAAGATTCATTTAGGAACATTTTTAGCATAACTTTCGGTGCCATCTGCATTCGCTTTGCATGCGGAGGGGCAGCGGGGAGAAAGTGGGGAGTGAGTGGCAGCAGAGGGTTAAAAATTGAGATTGCCATGGACGGTGATTGAGGGGGGGCGATTTGGAGGGTGATTGAGGACAAAGATGTCGTGCGCCAGAAACTAAGGTCATGAATAAGTGAATGGATTGCTCGATTTCGATTTCGATTTCCATTTCGATTTCAATTCTTTGGCTTTCGCACTCCCGCAATCCCCTCAATGTCATTATTTACATTTCCCAGATCTGTTTTCTCTCGGCTTTTGTTTTCCATTTAAATTCATCCTAGGGCAGTCGGAATTCGGTGTTTTGGGTACAAATAAAGTTTCGCCTTTTGACTTGCAGCCTCTTGATTGTCGAATCCATGTTGCAACACCCCACTTTCTTCGTGTCCTGCTTTAGCACACAAAAAAAAATAAGTCATAATATCGAATGAAACGAAGTATAGACAGAAAATAAAGTTTAAAATAAAAATAAAAATCAATCATACTAAAAAAATGCATTCCTAAAAGAAAGCGCATTTAAACTATCGTAGTTATCGATCAATTCGAAACAACATCGAAGTTTTAATTAAAATTTAAATACTTTTCTCTAAAAATAGTGTTATAGTATATATAGTATATAGTATAGTATATATATAGTGTATATATTAGTGATATCTTACTTAAATCCCTAGGATGTCGAATGTTTCTATATAATATCTAATTAAATTTACAAAAACCATATACTTCAAGTTGAATTGCAAAAATTATTATCGATTTGATCTCCCTAATCGATATTTCGATTTATTTATTTCTCCTTCACTTAGTCCTTTCATAGTTTAATTTTTAATTTTATAAACTTATTAAGAAGATTCCCATTTCTTAAGTGTACAGAAAGGAACCGGAAACAGGCGCCAGGGCAAGATGGCGGCGACATGAAGGAAACTGAGAATGAACCATGCACGCAGCCAAACACATTGTGTACGCTCCTCTACTCCGCGGTTTCTCTGCGGCACTTGTCTCCTTCTGTCTGCCAGTTGTCTCTGGAGTCGAGGACAGCTTCCCCCTCTCGCCCCTCTTCTCCCCTCTTGCACATTAGTTTTTATACAGTGTGAGAAAAAGGGAATACTTAAATATTTCATTTACCATTGGGAGATCTTTGCGGAAATATGTTTAAAGAACAGGATATGTTTGACAAGTTTTGTTTAAATATTTGAATTAGTATGAGTATTCCTATATCATTATATTTATTATATTTTTTTGTTCCCAGTTCCCCCTGTTCGTTTTTCCCCCCTCCCTTGGCACTATTTCCCACAGCTCTTTCGCACTTTTCCGACCATTGGAGAAGACATCACGTTGCCTATTGCAGCCATTACTCAAGCGACAGCAACGGGTGGCCCTATGCTTTTCCAGCTTTTCTCCACCCACTACACCCCCCTTCTTCCTCCCAGCTTCCACCAAGCATCCCCTGAAGGACACTAGCCTCCCTTCCTCCCTCGTCTCCTGGCCTTGTGCATGCAAACACGTTTCTGATTAGGAATCAAGAAAACCGACAACAACAGTCGGAAAGGACCTGTTCCTTCAGTTCCTTCTGCCCCTTCCTGGGCCAGCAGATGGCAGATGCGATATCTAAGGAGGAGGGAAAAAACAGGAAGACTCGGGGGCGTGGCCATAATGACAATGCCGCTAGAAAAAAATATTCATTGAAGATGTAAAGTTGAAGACACTTTAACTTGGCTTGCTTTGCCTTTGAGTAAAAACAAGGGATGCACTAAGAAAATTAAACAAAGTGAGATTTCTTTCAAGTTATTTGAACAATTTCTGATGAGAAATTCATACACTATACAGATTTGATTTATACATTTGACGGATAGCAGTGTTAATTGAATATTCTGCATTTTCTTGAGTTTAGATGGAAAATTTAGGGGCGGCTGAGAAGCATCGCTGAAAATGACATTGTGTACTTGGAAAACTGGGGAAAATTACACCATTACCAGCCCCTCCCATTTCTACTTGAAAGCCCCAAACTCCTCTTTTCAATTTTCCCACCAAACAATACGGCAAAAGTTCCGAGGCAACTCAACTTTTGCTAGGATATCCCTGAAACAACCCCCGCCTCGGCTTACATACATAAGTTGTCTGGTTTCCCTGCCCCTTTGTCCTTCGTCCTGTGCCCTTGCCTGCCCCCTGCCGGAAAAACTCACCTACACACAAAGTAAACGTGTTGAAATTTAACTAAAATTAATTTGCCAAAAATCAGGGCGAAAGTTTTGCGCCATTTTTGCTCTCTGATTTACTCTCAGACTCCCTACCCATTTGAATATCCTTTACTTTGTTTGGTCCTGGGCGGACAGGGTCATAAATTTCATTGGGATTTGGCTCCTCAGTCCGAGAGTCGAGTCGTCGTCCTCGTCCTCGTCCGAGAGCCCTTTTGTCAATTCAAAGTAATTCGAAGGCAAACAGGAGACAGCCGTGTGGATGTCCTGACCTGGGGAATTCGAGGGAAATACGAGGAGGAAGCAAGGAGGTGCCAGGAGTGGCTGACCCCCAGGCCAGATCGATGGCACAGCTGGGAATTGGACGAAAGTTTTCTTCCCCCTTTCATTATTGCCAGGCCTACTTGGTTTTATTTTTCGGGGATATATGTGGTTAATTATTGGGGCTTCCAGGTGGGTCAATTTGTATTTAAAGCCCTAAAAGAATGTACACGATGCATCAATTGCTGCAATTTTTTGTTTTATGCTAATTTAATTACATTTTAAACAAATTCTATGTATGTTGATATAGATAGAATATAGTTTATGTTGATTTCCAGACTTAATCTACTTTCTCTTTGATTTTATTTCGGGTTTTTAAGGTGATTAATAAAGACTTGTGCATGTTAAGAAATGTTTTAATTCGGTAATTCCAAAAACATAAATCTTGCCATCTAGTTAGCCTTGAGCTCGTTCTGTCAACCCAAAAGTCTAGCTCCCAAACCTTGTTGCTAGTAATTTTCAGTATAATCCCATTCCTTGAACCGGCAACATCTTTAGTAAATATTTTTAAATTATTTGTATCCGACAAGATTTTCCAAATTTTGTAAATTTCAACAAATTTCAGAAAAGTTCAGAGGTGTGTGTTCGTTTTTAGTGTTTCCTTCTAAAAGGACTACAGTAATTTCCAAATTCATTCTAGAAATCATGCATAAGTGCACGTGTTTTGAGCCAAGTACGTCTAAGCAAAGATGTCTAGCCTGCGGAGACCAGCGAAGCAGTGTTAAGACCGAACCAAAGGATGTCGAGCCCCAGCAGAGCAACAAGACAGGGCGCCGTTATCACGTTGATCATGAAGATGTCCAGTGTTTGTCATCATACGTACGGATATATCCCAGGAAGAAGCCTAATAAAAAGTAGCAGAAATTGGATGCTGCCCCTTCATCCACTCCACCTCAAGGCGACAGATGCTTGTCCTACAGATAAATTGTTGTATTGTGATGCATTGTCTACTTTTGAAGAGTTTCCACTGGAAATGCGGGATCAATCTGGTGTTGTGTATTTTGTAAATGCATCGAGCCCCAGCAGAGCAACAAGACAAGTCGCCTTTATAACGAAGATCATGACGTTCAGTATCCAAGGAAGAAGCCTAAAAAGGAACAAGTAGGAGCTGCTCCTTCATCCAATCCACCTAAGGCGACAGATGCTTGTCCTACAGATAAATTGTTGTATTGTGATGCATTGTCTACTTTTGAATAGTTTCCACTGGAAATGCGGGATCAATCTGGTGTTGTGTATTTTGTAAATGCATCGAGCCCCAGCAGAGCAACAAGACAAGTCGCCTTTATAACGAAGATCATGACGTCCAGTATCCAAGGAAGAAGCCTAAAAAGGAACAAGTAGGAGCTGCTCCTTCATCCGCTCCACCTAAGGCGACAGATGCTTGTCCTACAGATAAATTGTTGTATTGTGATGCATTGTCTACTTTTGAAGAGTTTCCACTGGAAATGCGGGATCAATCTGGTGTTGTGTATTTTGTAAATGCATCGAGCCCCAGCAGAGCAACAAGACAAGTCGCCTTTATAACGAAGATCATGACGTCCAGTATTCAAGGAAGAAGCCTAAAAAGGTAACAGAAGTAGGAGCTGCTCCTTCGTCCACTCCACCTCATGGACTCCTCCTCGGGAATGCCTTTCCATCTCTGCCAGAGCTGCTCCTAGCTGGTCCTGCAGGATTACGACACGTTTCCAGAGATTAATCAAGGTCTTCCAGAAAGTATGGTATGGTGTATCGTATTGCATTGTCTCCTCATGAAGAGTTCCACCGGAAATGCGGGATCCATCTGGTGTTGTGTATTTTGTAAATGCATCAGCACGGTACTAATTTTATACTTAAAGATCCGCAACAATACAATCTCAGAGTTCTCGTAAAGTAAAAGTATAGCGTTTTATTTTATTGTATGTCTTGGGACCGCTCTTGGCCGATGCCTCGATGAAGGAGAGGGCTGCTTATCGAGGTATTATCGTAGACTTTGCCCACACCCACGTCCCCTACGAAAAGGATCTTGAAAACGTAAAGGACAGTAAAACATTTGAATCTAGTTTCCTACATGAACTGAGTTTAAATTCAATGGCTGCTTTTTTAACGAGATGAAAGCTAACACATAAATTATGATTGATTTTCAATGTAATTTGAGAGTATGTAGCTGAGTTTGTACATTTTGTATAATGGGTAAATGGGAATTTATAATACTTCCTGTATTTTTTAACAGTTTAAATACATAAATACATTTAAAATAAAAAATAACAGTTTAAATATATATAATTAGTTGATGCCTTTTTGCCATAACTTGTACATTAACATTCCAAACATTCCAATGATTATATTCCATGTACTTCCAGGGCCCCCTCCCCCGCATATTTCCCGTGCTATTCGATATGCCATATCATCAGCATCCAGCACAGATTTCCCAGCAATTTCCCTGGGAAATGCCAAATGGAAATATATGTGCATAGGCGAGGACTCACTTTGCAATTAGTTTAGTGGCTGCCAGCCCGCAGAGAAAACACAAAATTAGTGGCAGACTATAACCAGATACGCCACCTGCCCCACCTGCCCCACTTGCCCCACCGGATCCGTGGCGTGCTACTGCTCTACCCGTATCCGGGACTCGCATCCGTCCGGATTGCGGTGCATTTTTCTGTGAAGCGGAGTGTGTGAAAAGTAATTTGCATATGTATTGCTATGGCATTTGCATTTATGCATGTCGACAGGCCCGCAAGCTATTCCCCTCTCTCTCTCTCTCTGTCTGTCTGTCTCTCTCTCTCTCTCTCTGAGCCACCTATCACTTTGCCCCCATTTTTCCCGCTTTATCCTGGCCTCTTCGCCGAGCATTTGCTTATTTGCGGTCATGTTTATGCGCGCCAGTTAATCGATTATGCACGGGCTGAGTGAGCAGCGCCGGAAATGTGCAAATGCTGCACTTCCGCTTCTCCTTTTTGCGCCCACGCTTCGGGTTTCGCCCGTTTTCCACTTATTTCCCCGCTGGCCCGCTTCTCCGCCCGCTTCCGCCCACGCCCCGTCCTTGCAGTTTTTCCCATTCTGACATCCTTTGTGTGTGTGTGTGTCGCGACGAGGTGTGAAAACGGAAATCATTATCGCGTTGCTGTCATCGCTTCACTATCCGAAAACAGCAACACTCACACAGTCAGTGCTCGAACTGTTAACAAACAGTTCCATAATCCCATTAAATTGGTTCATTATTTCAATTTTTAGTTGTCCCACAATGTCATTAAATAATACTTGCATAATGTAACTGCAAAGAGCTATGCCTAAAATATTAATCTATATATTTTGAATGGCAACAACTTAGGGCTCTTTCAATGTAGTAATCTATATTATGTTTATATAGCCTTACTCTATTTTTTTACACCTTTATAATTAACTATATAAAATAGATATAGTACTTGTATCTTTTTAATACGTATATCCTCTTTTTAGATTGTATAAGAAAGATAGATAGTTTCATAGTCGAATCTAATGTAGATTGCTTAGTTTATATTGTATTATATTAAAAAATATTATTATTATTATATTATATATATTTTTCTTGGATAAAAGTTATTTTATAAACATTTCCTCGCTATATATATGTTATTTATATTCTTATTACACGTTATCTAGCGGTTTGCCCACTAAGTACCATTTCATCTGCCTTCACTTATTTTTGCGGTTGTTTATTTAAACATTTAACGCCCGGGGGCTGTCTGTCTATTTCACGTGTCTCGGATAAATAAATATATTTATAAAATACATATATAGAGCATTTTACATTTAGCCAATACGAGCTTTGCTCCTGATCCATCACTAAATTAGAAATGTAATTATTCAAATATAGAAAACCTTGTTTAGGCTAGAAAGTACATTGAAATATTTAGTTACAATTTAACAATAAATAATATAAATGCTGATAGATTTTGAACACGAATTTAATTAATTTTCCTAACTGTCATAGAAACGATCGTATGTCTGTATGTCGATCTCTCTCTCTCTCTCTCTCTAGATAACTCTTCCTTTGTATCATTCTCTATCCCTCTCCATCTCTCTATGCCTTTCTCTAGAGAAACCCCTTTCTCTCTCGCACTCTCGCTCTCACTCTCTCTGTTATTCTCTTTGCTCCAGAGACTATAAATAGCCGCACAGCCCTCGCACTCACCTCATTCAGTCCGTGGCCTCCGCAGTGTTTACATCGATGGTAAAAGTGATAGTGATTGTGATAGTGATTGCTCTTGGACTTCAAAAATATCACCTGAACGATGATATACATCTGAATAACCAGGAAGAAGCTAACTACGATAATTTTCTCTACTGCGGTAGGTCCTAACTATAACAATAATATCATTTATACATATATGTAGATGCTATAGGAGGGATCTTGAATCAACTGTGCTAGCTATTTATTTATTTTCCAATTAATTCCCATACTTCCATGGTTCCTATTACTTAATTTAATCTTTAGTGATACAGCAATTTGTACTAAGTGTATCTGGAAAAGTATACGATTATTACAAAACTGACCCGGACTTTGACTTTTGTTACACTTTTATACCATTTTCGGGGTATTATAATTTCACCCAGAAGATTAAAATGAAGTGAAGGAGTCATTTCCGACCCTATAATCCATATATATTCTTGATCAGCATTAACAGGCGAATCTTTCTGGGTATAAAACAGAGAAACAAATTTTTGAAAATTATTTTCCAAATTTTTTTACACGTTTTTTTCATTGTTAGCATATTGAAAAATCGACAAAATTTAGAATAGTTTAAAAGTGTAATTTGGGTATTCAGATTTATTAACCTATTCAAAACTAGAACAGAACAGCTTTCCGAATTGAAATTAATGCATTTTTGACATAGTTATGAGTTTTTTAAGCCTTGACTTGTAGAATAAACTAACTTATAAAAATATCGAAATATTGGTTAAAAAATGGGATTGTTATTTCAGTCAGAAGCTTAAAAATAAGTGAAGGAGTCATTTGCGACACTATGTTCCATATATATTCTTGATCGGCATAAACAGGCAAATCTTTCTAGCCATACAGTAGGGAACAACATTTTTGAAAATTTTTTTTTTATAATTTTTTAGACTTTTTTTTATTGTTAACATATTGAAAAATCGACTAAATTTGAAGTAGTTTAAAAGTTTAGTTTAAGTATGCAGATTTATTAAACTATTACAAATTAGAGCAGAACAGCTTTCCGAATCGAAATTAATGAATTTTTGGCTTAGTTACGATATTTGAAAAACTTAAATTTACCAAAAAATTAGCATATATAAATATAAACCTCATTTCCTTAAGTCATATATATATAAACCTTAATCCTTTAAGCGAAAGCGATGCCAAAACAATCGATAAATAACCTTCGATAAATAACCATCGATCTCGGGTCTCGCTTCGATTTATTCGCCCTGCCATTTGGCGATGCTAATCGATGTGCATTTGCGGCTTACATCACTAATCCTGCCAAGAGCTGGCCTCGTCCACTTCCCGGGGGCGTGGCATAATCACAGGCCATTTTTCAAGCATGCACTCCGGCTTGCGATTCCGATTCCAACTCGGATGTGTGTGTTGTGTGTATGAGAGTGTGCGGGAGGAAACTTACAACACTTTGGCTAAAGGATACTGGTGGCCACAGGACATAAAGAACGAAAGAAACAGCAGCAACAGCAACAGGAGCAGTAGCAGCTGCAAGAAGTCACAACAAACAGACAACGGGAGAGAATCACAAGACAGAAAGCGAAGAGAGGAGCGACAGGAGAAAGGAAAAGGACGAAGAAAAACAAGGAGCAGAGAGCGGAGAAAGCAGAACCGGAAAGTCTGAGAAATGGCCTGTTTGGGTCCGGGCAACAAAGTTAATTGAGCAAACCGGCTGGCGAGCGAGAAGAGCAGGCCGCAGTTGAAATCCAATTTGTCTGCAAATACACAAATGATGGTCCCCACTCCCGGGTCCGGCTCTGGCTCAGGCTCCGGCTCTGGGCCTCATCCGGAACTGGGCGCCAAAGAATCCGTAGCATCATTCATCTGCCAGGACCGAAAAAAGCTGCAAGCCGTGAAAGAAACGCCAGCGGCATAAGATTCACAAGAAGTCTATGCCCCAAAGGACAACGAGGGAACGTGCTGCTGGTTCTGGCGGGGATTGGTGCCCACCGAGGGCGGCCCACCATCTGGTGGGCACTATCACCGCAACAACAAGGAGCAGCCAGCAGCCAGAAACCAGCAACCGGCGACCAACACCAACAACAATAGCCAAACAGGATACGGATCCCAGCGGGCAACCAATTTCCAGGACATCTCTCTCCTCTTTGCTTTGTGAATATTTCAAAAATTGCAGCAGCCCAAGGAGCTGCACTTGGAGAAATGAGAGCAACTTAAGGCTATCCATGAGCCAGGGAACATAATGTGACAATTTGATAAAGAGTGAAGGAAAACGTTAACTAACTAATAAATTAGAAAAATCACTCATACGCCGAGTGCTCTCCATTATGTTTTAACTTTATACTTCAAATTATTGAGCGCTT